ATTGTTTCAAGTTAACACTAGTTTAGGTGAATCCAGTATGGCATTAAGGCCAACTGGCAAGATAGTATGTTTTGTTCCAGGTTCATTATTTATTTGACTTAGTTTATTATTTTATTTTTGAAATGGGGATTAATATAAATAGGGCTTAATCTCCTGACTATAATAAAGCATCGAATTTATTCTTTATTTTTATGGGTTATATGTTATTTGAACGATTGAGTCTTGTTATAATTTAATATTGCTTTGGTAAGGTTGACTAGGGTCGAACTGCACAAGTGATGCTGGAAAGTTATTCTATTACTAGCATTATGAGTTGTGTGAAAATTATTTATTTTTATTAATTTAAAAGAAGAGATATTAAGGGATTCCACAAGGGAATCTGAACATGAGGAAACCTGATTAACAACTAATTGTGGATACAGCTGGGGCAAGACGATGAAGCCCAGCGAAGGCCTATCTGCAACTGGTTGAGGTAAGAAGGAGCACTAAAATCATATGGGCTAAAAGTGTTTTATTGAAAGCAAGGTTGATACAAAGTTAAGAGCAAGAGAAAGGATGGCGGCCGCGGGTGTTAAAAACAGGAAAGTAGGAATCTGATTGCACTAAATCGGGATTTAATAAAATATATCAACCAAAGTATAATAATAATAATATAAAGAACAACCAACCGATACACACAAGGACACTGACAAACAAATGATACAGACAAGGAACAGGGACTCGACTAAGACAGGAATCAAGGACCTAACGAGATATCAGAAGGAAACAGGACAAGGGAAAGTGAGGGGAAAAATTGTTGCATAAGGATTTCGAATGAGCACCAGGACCAAGGTTTAAATATGTGAGGACCTTGGTGGCGCGACCAGCAAAAGGGGAATCTTGGTGGCTAGGCCTACCGTCGGCCTGCAACCAAGGTTAACAAAGAGAACCTCGAAGTGGCAATGCTGGTGGCGATTCCAGTGGCGCGGCTTGCGATTCCAGCAAAAAAGCAAAGCATTACCGCGCGGCCCAAAAATATCGGACCTTGGGTCTGGACTAGGTTTCGAACCTGGGCCTTACGTTCCGCAGTCTGGCACTAATGCCACTTGGGCCATCGCTGCCATTCTGTTTCCGTGGCTTCCGTCGTCGGGTTGGATCTAGTCACGTGGTTCTGGTCTGAGTCAAGACGTGCGGGACCCGCCATTCGTAACAGCGGGAAAGAAACTGGTAAAAAGCTCTCCTCCAACAAACCCCACGACAGATACAAAGTTAAGAGCAAGAGAAAGGATGGTGGCCGCGGGAAAGAAACTGGTAAATGTCGCAGGGTGGGAAAGTTAGGCTATAATTTTCCCTTCCACCAGACATCACGTGAGCATCGCTAGGGCTATTTAGAGGCATCGTTTATAGTTAGTAGTTTCGAGTTGTGAAAACCAACATATCACCTGACTTGGGTCTTAGACAAAGTCAGGTGACTATGTTGGTGGGTTATTTAGTTTTGCTTTGTTAAGTTTTGTTCCCACCTGTTTACGGGATTATTTTTGTTTGGTTGTTAAGTTTTCTGGCCCATCGTAAATTGTGATGAAGGAGCCAAATTGAGTTCTGATTTCGATTGGTCACCACTGAGTGTGGCAGACCAATTTCCTTAATAGGAATAGTTTTTGTTGTGATTTTCTTTTGGTTAGTGGGCCAACTAGTGCGATGGGTTATCATTTACACTAGTACGGCTAATTTCTATAGTTTTTATTGGATTTTTCACTACTATGTTTCATGTTTTCAGTCCTAGAGTACGTATGGGCTGATATTTAAGTAGTTGGACTAATTCTAGTTCAATTATTTTGCTTATTTTTGTCTTTTATTCAATATTTAAAGGACTACACGTCCTACAATAAAACAGTGTGCAAGTTATTGGGAAGTTCATATTTTATAGGTTCAAAAGGAGATTATTTAGTTAGTTAGTATGTTTTTATTATGATTATTTGAAGTTACCCCTATGTAGTTACATAATTAGGATTTAGTTATGATTATTTCAGGCATGGTTAAATTAGTTGTTTTTTTTTAGTAGTTTACATGTATTTAGTTCAACAGTTTTATTCAGAAAAGTTAAGAAAAGCCAACATTAGGTCGTGAATTGAGAATCGAGAGGCACGGACAAGTCGAAGAACACTGAAATGTTGAACAAAAACAAAGAAAAAGAAAGATAAAATACATAAAAAGGATGGCAAACACCGCGAGAAAACTGAGCAAAAGCTCCCCCGCGAACCACCCCACGACAGTAAAAAGCTCTCCTCCAACAAACCCCACGACATGACAACTTTCCTACCCTGTGACGAATAGTAAAAAAATGAATTGCCCCGTACAGGGATCGAACCTATGACCTTGGCGTTATTAGCACCACGCTCTAAACCAACTGAGCTAACGGGGCATTCATTTTCCAGCTGCGGCACCTCATACTTAACTTCAAGGTTTTATACCTTTGCTTGCATAATCAGGTTTGACATTGTTACTCAGGACGTGATGTGATGATATTATTTCCTGATGCATCTATTACCTCGGGACCTCCCATCCAAAAGTAGCATTAGTGATGTGTTATGTGCAATTTGTGGTGAAAACCACCTTTCAAAATGTGTGGAAAACAATTCTTTTGAAACTGCTTTTATTCTGAAAGCTGATTTTAACCAAAAAGAATAAAAATAGACAAAGCCATCCTCTAACTCCAAGAGCAAGTCCAGCTAGTTTTTAGGTCACAGGATCTTCATACTTTTCAAGAATATATTTCATCCACATCAATGAATGTCAAAAGATCATAAAAAAATGCCAGAATTCCTTGGGAAAACTTTCAGGATGAAACACCCAAAACATTGAGGCATGGGAGAATATCAAAATAAGGCTAAGGTCAAGAAAATCTCTGTATAGGAAAAATTACTGAAAAAGTTGACTAAACATGCCTAAAAATGCTCTAACAAATCCAAAATCACTCAAAATCAATCCAAATGAACTTAGCAACTTGCAGAAATGTTGTATTTGCAACACATGGCAAACACCAGTCCGATGAATAGAGCTAATATTTGCAGCTGTGTATAGCAATAGTTTGGAAAACACATGACACAAACCATCAAATCAAATCAAATCAACAAAAAAATTATTTGTGTTGTGGATTCTCCACAGCCTTAGCCATTACAATCATTTCTTAGCACCATCATTTTTTAAATTATCAGTATGTGGGAGTTTTTTACTTCTTCTGAAGGTTTTTTCCTGCACATACACTTGCATCCATCAGTTCTGGCAAATTCTCTTTTTTTGATGGCATCCATGATTACTTCTAACTTTGCAATGATTTTTTTGTCTTCACAATTTTCTTCACCTTGATTTGTTTTTTATAATGTTTTTCTATAATGTTTTTTTCAATAAAAGTCACAGTCTCACTGTATTGCATCATATTTTTATGATGGCTGCAACAATTTGAACCCAGCCCCAATCCTGAGTACCCATTATCATATATGTCTTGACTTTGTTTACATATTGTATTTTTTTTAGTAGTTACTATGATTTTTATGTCATAATGGTATCTCATGGTCACCATTCTAAATACCCATTCTCTTTCTAATCAGGTACTGGTATAGTTCAGTTGTTTGTGTGGTTGATATTGTTGAATATAAATAGCTTGCCATTTGCTACTGGAAAATAACTGTAAATAATTTTATTAAAAAAGTTTTATTGCTGTTTTTTCTGATCTGCATTTGCCACACTTTTTTTGACCATTGAAACAAATTTACAGTGAGATTCAACAGTAGACCATGACCAGTAAAGATAATACCATTTTTATTTACTTCCAAAATTTTGCTGTACCTAGACAAGGTAATGGAACATTGCTTCTAAAAAGCATATTTGTCGCAGCCATCTGAAATGAAACTAAAGTGAGACTGCGACTTTATTGATAAAAACATTATAAAAAAAACATTATAAAAACGACATTATAAAAAACCAAGCAAGGAAAAATCATTGTAAAAAAGATGAAGACAAAAACAAGTCGAAATGATGAACTGAGAATGCAAAATGTATGCACGGGAAAAAACCTTCAAAAGAAGTAAAAAACTCCCACATACTGATAATTAAAAAAAATGCTAGTACTTTGAAAATGGTTGAAATGGCTAAGGTTGTGGAGAATCCACAACACTCGCAACATGGCTTCATACAGCCATGACTGATGCAGGGATAAACACAACAATGTTTTCCCCACACACCATCCACTCTGCATCTGCAACCAAGGTGAAACTCCTGGGATTCGATGAGGAAGTGATACTCAAGGTGGCCAACTGGGCCAACACAAAAATGTTCCACCAATTTTATTACTGACTGCCTACCGGATGTATTGCATTACCCATGGTAATCGATAAATTGTTCATGTGAGAATAGGTTTCCCTATTACCCGAAATTATATGAAGAACTGGCTTCGAAGTATAATTGGTTAGGGTAATAAGTAAACCTATTCGAATTCCCGCCACAATCCTTCAGATATTACTTATCCTCTTTCTTATTTATTACATCTTTATTAATATTGTTACCCCACCCTCTATATTTTATCAGCTATATCTTCCTTCAAAAGGTCTAAGGGAACAATAATGGGGGCCAAGGCCCTCATATATATATCATATCCAACAAAAAATAAAGTGCAGCCAGCTTCAGAAGCCATCAAGTTCACGTGAGAATAGGTTTCCCTATTACCCTAACAAATTATAAGTCAAGAAATAGCTATCAGACTCCTATAAAAACCAGCTTTGATTTGTAGTCATTAAAATTATTGTCAAGTAATGTGCGAACTCTCTGGAAACTCCCATAAAAGCATTTATGAAAGTCGCTCGGTTGGAGGGATTCAAAGAATTCACTATATACCTCAATAAGCTTATCATCATTGCTAAACATTCTACTCTCCAGTTCATCCTTCTTATATGAAAAGTCACATGGAGCAATGCCAGAAGAGTAGGGTGGTGCTTTAAATAATTGGAGTTCAAATTTGTCCATATGCGCCTTGATAAAGCAAGAAATGTAAATCCCTTTATTATCCTGGTGGAGGACATATCAAACATCACTCACGGTGGTCTTAGTCTCCTGCACAAGCACTCTCAGAGATACGAATGGGTTTTGCTTTACTAGTAGTTCGATGGTGCCACTTCTGTACTCATTGCACTCACAGAAAGGACGGCTTGTACTGTGTTCCACTTCTAATGACAAAATACCAACCTGAAGGTTGTTGTATCAATGGCGCAATGTGCCATAAAAAGGACTACCTCTTGCACAAGCATATTACAGACTTTGGTAAATTTTTATTGAACTTTCACCGAGTTTAAATAGCAGCTAAAAGTGCGACTGCAATTTGATTCGGGTAATGGTGGGTGAGGGATGCGATGGCTTCGACAGTATTGGCATGGTAAGTGTGTTTCAAATTAAGATAACTCAATGGTAACAAATGATATCATGGTAAATTAAGACCAATGCGGTTCAAACAAACACAAGTGACAGCACAACAAAGGGCAAGAAAGAGTAGTAACAATTCATCCATTGCTCAGGATTACATGTCATTTTACAATACAGGGCTGTATATTGGTTACATGCCGTTGTGAAATTTATTGGAAGTACTTTTACTCGGCAGTGATGCATGTTGATAACTTATTCAAAAATACGGATATCAGATCCGGTGAATGGTTTCACAGGGTTGGGAGGAAAAGTCAAGGGGAATTCATAGCATCCAACTTTCTATTCCTCTTTTCTTCATTGATTACCTCGACTTTTTAAAAAAAGATATTATGATGGACAGGATAAGCAGCTATCCATGAGAGAAAGTAAGACTAGCGGAAATGGTGTAAGTATGCACGGTGTGTACTACAAACATTACCTCTGTGAATACAACGCCACATAAGCTGGGCGCATATCAATATAGAATTGAAGGAGTGAAGAACGGACCAGGGTCTGTGTATTCACGAAGTACCAGGGCACATCTACCGCGCTATGTCTCTCCTATCCAATAAGGTCATTCGAAACAAAAGTCGAAGAATGTTGTTGTGGGATGCTTGTTTAGTGGCAATAGCAGTGCAGGGAACGAATTCTACAGTTACTTAACCGAATTCAAATGATAGGTCTTGGCAGCAAAATTTCTTCTCAAGCTATACATTCACTAGTGAAAGACATCCAGACTAAGGGAGTTAACACGTATTGCTGTACTGATAACTTTGATGAAAGTGAACGACATATAAAACTGGAATAAACCAGTATGTGTAGTAAAACATAGAAAAACACAAACACGCACGAATACATCCAATAATAATATACAGTGAACATCTTTAACGAAACCATGTTACCCTTCCAGGATGGTACTAGACGGGATTTAAGTGGTTTACTCGGACATCACGACGGTGTAGAACTTCTTGGCAACTTCTTGCTGATGGTCAAAACGCTTTTCAAGGGGGTCAACCGGCTCTACAGTAGGCGTTGGGGCACTACTATCTCCTGGTTCTGGGAAGAATCGCATGAGCAACGGTTTGACTGTAGCCTTGGTTTTCAAGTCTGATGCCAGTTCCTGAAGATCAGTATTACCAGTCCCTTGATTCGTCGAACTAGTAGCTATTTTCTCCGTAGTTTTCTCCACCTCAGTGACGATAGCACCGCTGCCACCCTCCCAACTGAACAGTGCGTCTCGTAAACTATGGAAAAGGGCCTTACGACTTTCAAATTCCGGGCGAAGCTGTTTCAGGACGGCGGTGAAGTTTCTCTGGGAGTCCATGTGGTTGCGCTTCACTAATTCGATACTGTCCAGCGGATCATTCGAGGCCCACTGGTGAACCAGTTTTTTCTTACGTACATCCGGAGGCGATATCTGATGGCGGGCAAACCCGATGGTACATTTCCATAAGTATAGAAATAAAAACGACTCGCACTCATCCAAGAATGAAAGTTTGTCCGTGCGACCCGCGAGGTTCAGAATACTCATGAAAGGAAGGGTGCCCGTTCGCGATAGCATTTTACCAGTTAAATCGTCGCCCTTGCACCTGGCATGGTCAAAATCTATCAGTAATGGAACCTGTGCTATCGCGGTTATGCTAGGGTTCATCGGATGGGTGATTTCCTTTTCCACTACCAGGACATTACCCTCGGATAAGTCCCGATGGTAAATTCCGTAATCCTCATGGAGTCTGTAGATTATTCCAAAGAATTGCTGGAAAAAATACGCCACTGTGATGCAGAGCTCCGATGCTTTCTCAGTGGTGAGCTCAACGGGTACCTCGGAACTAAGCTGGGTGCCATAAGGATGTAATGTGGTCATTGATTTACCGGCCGGGGTAAGAAGTAGTCGCTGATGGACACGCTCGACCGACTTGATAACATTTTCCGTATTCCCGGGATTGGCAGAGGACTCTCCTTGACTAGTCG